TGTTCTACAAAACATAAATTGATGGAAATAGTTAGCACAGACAGCTTCAATTGGTAGAATGTTGAAGGCAGAAGTTCTTTATAGAATAGCCTTAGATTGGCTCCAACTAGCATTTGTCTTTCTCGAGGAATCTAATATAGGTAAATTGTACTTCACATTTGGCAGACTGCGCATTTTACGCTCCAAAGAGCGGACAATCTAACAATCATCTGAAGCAGTTGTTTCTAAATATGCCAAAGTTTTACAAATCATTACCAAAAGCTAGTTTCCAAAATTTAATATTTCATGCCCAGAAAATCAGTGCTATGTTTGCTTAATCTTATGTATGTGAGCAAGAGTTTTCAACTATGAAACTTAGAAAAAATCATTTCAGAAGTAGACTAACAGAAAAGCATTTAGTCTTGTTCCTTAAAATAAGCATATCTCACTTCGAACCTTAATATAAGGAACTTTTAAAGATGAAATCGCAATTTCCTTCATCTCACTAAATATTTAAATTAAAACTTGTATATCGCTTTTTAATTTTTTTAAAATTTTGAAGTTCTTACGTGGCCCACCAAATTTTTTTTTCTTGATTTTTGGCCCCCGACCAAAAAAGTTTGCCAATACCTGATCTAAGTAAGCAAAAAAATTATATATAATTCACTTCTATTTTCATAAACTGATACTTTGTCACTTTTGGTGTAAAATTCAGCTGAACAGGAAAATTTAGAAAATTATTTAACATTGAAAAATATGCTATTGGCATTAATAATAAAAATAAAGATAAATTTTTTTTGGAAAAGCATGTTATAGAGAAAGATGTGTTTAAACTTATTTTAAAGATTTTTGGACCATCTTTAAAATAATGTTTAAAGGTGGCCCATTAAATCATTTTTAAATAATTAACAAGGACCACCTTCAAAATAAATAAAAAAATCATTGCCTATTTTATGGATAATTATTCTTATAGGCTCTACTTCAGATTGAATTTCATTATTTTTAAACTTTCGTGTGATACTTTTAAAAATGCTTATTTACCATAACGTCAGAATATTTAAATTAATGTTTAAATAATGAATGAAAAATAATCATACTACATCGGCAACATATTAAAATGGGAATAAAAATGCTTTGTTAATTTTCCAAAATAACTTATTATAGTGCATATGAAACTATCCTTTTTATGTAGTTAAACAATACTTATTTCAGCCATAAATGATATTGTCAATTACTCACTTTTTGAAGACTCCATAGATGAAGACTGCGAGACCAAGTATGGCTGGAATCCATAGAGATGTCATAAATGTTGAGACCCAGGCGAAATAGAATGCTATCTTCTCTCCAAAATAATCTCTGATTTCGTGGATGGGTTGCCTCCCGCAAAGTCTTCCCCATTTCTTGCTAAGCTCGTACCTTAAATCTAGTTCCGCAGTTCCTTCATCAAGATCTTGGATACGACCTCGAATCTCTTGAAGGCTAATTGGTTCTAAAATTGATGGATCGTGGAGTGCAAACGCATCTTTGAAAGCTCCTACCATCAGTAAAAATTGCAGACCTAAATTGAATTTACAATTGTATCTGCTTTGAAGCTATATACGGGGTGTCTGGGGAAGGACAGACAGATTTCAAAATTAAAAATCTCAAAAATAAAGAGAGACAGAAGAAGGAGACTAAAACGTTATATTTATCGTAAACCTGCAAGAATTTTACGTAGAAAGTTTTGAAATTTAGTTACAAAAATTGCCAGCAGCTGGCGATTCAAACCATTGATAATCAGAACGATCAGTTCTAGTGTAAAAACGTGAAAGGAGGTTGTCTTTCCAGATTAAGAGGTTTTAATCTTGTATTCTAAAAAGACAACGTTTGTTTCTGATACTATAATACCACAGGTTAGATTACAGTCCTAGGTTATATGTATTCTTTTGAAGTGCTCGTTAAAGAGAGAACATTGCCATCTTTTTGCAACTTTTGTTAATAAATTTCAATATATCTGCATAAACATGTTATATATCATTGGTTCCTTTCTCTCTCGCCTTCAGTTTCTGATATTTTCAAATTTGAAATCAATCAGTCCTCCACTTAATGTTTTTTCATACTGTTTAACATTTTGTAGAAATATTTTTATAACCAATAAATGATAATACTTGCCATTTTATCAATGTGTGTTCGGCTTTTTATCAAGTAGATGCATTAATTACGTTTTTAGGTACTTTGGGGTTATCAAACCGACCTGCTCGCAAAAATTCGCATATCCTTTGACTCCATCATAATGAAAAGCAATTTGCAAAATAAACATTCTAACGCATTAAATTCATCAAATAATAATAATATTAAAATAATAATAGCAAAAAAAATATATAAGTGTAAAATTACGCAATAAAAAAGTGTAATAAAAAGAATAAAAAAAAGTGAAAATTTCTATTTTTTTAGAATTACACACTGAATTATTCCTTAATCTAACCATTTATATTAATCATATGGACGGCCAAAAATCCTTGATGGCTTTTAAAGAGCAAGCAAACAAGTCATTATCCTTGTGCAGTCGCCGTCACATAAATTCCTTTCATCTCGTTCATCGTACCGCCATTTCTTATCAGTTTTGATATACAGTGTCACATCGTGGCCATTCACGCGCATTTTCTTAAACGAAATGATTCCATACTTTTGAAAATATGCCACTGCCCTCCCTTCGGTGCTAGGAAAATCCTAAATTCATTTTGCAGCGGAGTAAAAAAAAAAAAAATGCATATTACAACACGCTTAAGAAAACAAACTTGCATAGTCAAGAATTACACTGCGCACTGTAAATATGTTAAAATTTGCGGTGATTGGAGCAGAAGAATATCTGGTTTGGCAAAAATGGTCCACCAGATAGTCCCAAAGTACCCGTTTTTAAATCTACTTTTAATTTAATAAAAATTGAATATTTGATCATTAAGATTGATTGTTAGTAATCACCACTGAATTTAATTCAAGAAAAACACCAAAATATAGCAAAAACATAAACGACGTATACCTCCGATAACAATGGATTCTCTATAAATAATCACTTCAATATAGAAGACAAATCAAATTTGTCAATTATGTCTCTTAAATAACTCTATCATTTTATTTTAAAAAGAATTTGATTTGATTTTTAAATTAGCCAACGAATGGAAGTTTTGCATGTCTTAAGGCCATTCAAAAGCATATCAAATATATAATTGATGCCATTAATACGAAACATGGATGCAGAAAAATATGGAATTTTGAAGTGATGTGATTTGCAAAAATAACTTTTGGGAGAATATACTGATAAAAATGCATGAATACATTATGCCATTTATGTTTACTTAAGAGAAAACCATAAGACATCTCTTAAATATTATATTGGAAAGATGTGCCATTCAAGGAGTTTTCATAACAGACTATTCGATTGTGGCTTTAAAATGCTCTAATCTTTCCAATTTTATTTTAAAGAAGTAGACTATTTGTGACATAAGACGTCTCTTAAATATTACATTGGAAATATGTGCCATTCAGGGAGTTTTCTTAACACACTATTAGATTGTGCCTTTAAAATGCTCTTATCTTTCCAATTTTATTTTAAAGAAGTAGACTATTCGTGACGTTTTTTTATTTAAAAAGAGAAATTAAATACTGCCTACTTGCACTCTCGTTAAAAAAAAAAATATTTGAGTGATGACATTATAGGCATGTTTCCTAGCTTTTAAAATTTCATTAATTTTATAAATTTATTTTCTTTAATCATTCTTAATTCAATTTTAGTTAAATAAAACAAATTATTTACTTTTTATTACATTTTATGAAAAGAAAATATAAATATTTTATTCTCTTCTTAACAATCAATAATAGCCAACTTTTTAATTCAATACAAATGAATAGCTCAATTATTCACAGTCGCGACTAAATCAAACATCAAAATCTATTTTTAATTCTCCGTTCCTTAAACTGCTTTATTTCTCTAACCACAATAATGTTTTAGTTGCAGGGTTATATTAATTTCTCACGGTCTTTTTGGTGATAAAAATGTAGCCAAATTATTTATATATTAACACGAGGTTGACTGAATTGGCTTTCCCTTTGGCAGTATCCTTTTTCTATAATGCGCCAAAAATGGATCTGTCATTCATATACTACGAAGAGTTAATTAAATACCACTTTTAATATGGCTTTTGACTAGGCTGATTATGGAGATTTATTTCTTATGGCCTGTCCTTATTGATAAAAACGTCATTTAGATAAAATATTCGTATAATTTTGTTTCAACTACGACTGAATAAAAGTTTTATTGTGATTATGATTCTGTTCTCATCATCAACTGTCAGTTCATTGATTTTGTTTTCATTATCATCTTCAATTAGTCATCTACACTACACCAACCACACCAAATTGCCATTATAATGTGTTCATTACAATACATCAAATTTGAACAAATTACCTTATTTCATGGTTCTCTATATAATGATTGACCTCGTACTGCTTTTAAATTTTGGAAAAAATTAAAATTAATTTTTTGTAGAATACGTATTTGATCGGTAACGAATTATCTTTTTTGTATTTTATGGCGCTTTTGATTTTATTTTGTATTTTACTGTGCTCTCTTTGTTTTTCTGTTTTATTTACAGCAGAATTCTTTATTATCTTCTTTATTTATTACTTTAGTTATTACTTAGTTATTTAATTGGATAGTTTTGCACTTTTTAGTTTCTCTTAAACACAAGAAGCAACATCGATTTTGATTTTTTAATAAAATAATAATAATTAAAAAATTGAATTAATTCAATGAACTTTTATAGAAAGAGTGGATGACAAAATAGATAATTAATCTTACCTATCTTATCGGGCAATTCCCCATTTTCTTTGTACCTGGATATATTTATTGAAGTCAATATACTGTGTACCTGAAAGTAATAATAAATAAAAAAAATTTTTAATAAAAGAAGCAAAATTTTTTTTATTACAAATCTGATGATGTGAGTCATATCAATGTAAATATTAGGAAATAAATTAAAAATATCTGATACGTTTAATTTTGTCCAATATTTTTTTTGAAACCCTGCATTTTAATTTTATGAAATTCATAAAATTTCTTGTCAAACTTTCTTAATAATTTAGAGGAAACTGTAAATTAAGCATTAAACATAGAGTCAGGCTATTTTTTTTGACAATCGAATCTTTATGGATTATTTAGCACATATATTAATCTGGTTGACAAAAGTAATTACTAATTGGAATATTTATCAATTATTAATCTTTAATTAATTTTAATCTCTAGTATTTTTCGTTTTTTTCTTAAAAGTGAACATACACGTAATTTGCACCTAACTGAAGCAAATTTGATTTTAAAGTTTTTTTTTTAAATCTTATGTAGATTGATAAAAGTTTTGTAGCAACATATAACCAGCTCTAACACTACTTTTAACTTGATCCTGTTTCGAGATCAAGATTAAATTCGGAAGCAATACTCATGACTAGTTATTCTAAAAAAATGTTACGAGATATTAGATTAAAAAAAATTACGATTAAAAATATTTTTAAAGATATTAAATGCACACATTTTACTTTAACTGAATATTTTTTTCCATTTTAGAATTGATTCACCATTAATGAATGTCATTTGTTATAAATGATTAAAAAGTAATTACAAATTTCCATTCATTCAAAAATATCAATTTTGATTCATAAGTAACTGTATGTATTTCCATCCAGATGAAATCCATCCGAAGATTATGATTGATGTGTATAATAATTTTTTTCTATTTATTAACATGTTTTGTGTTTATGAATAATATTTATTAATTAATTCGTTTAAATGTTATTTGTTATGATATCATTAGTAAATTTTATTTTTAATAGAACTTACTTTATAGAAAAAAAATTAAAGTTTTATAAAAATTGAAATTCTTACGATAAAAATTTTTTGTATTATTTTCACTATTGAAATTAGTAAATTTTTTTTATGAAACTTAGAGGTTCCACTCAGCAACCTCTGGGGATGTTTTGCTAATAGTATGTTCATCATATAGAAAAATATGACTACATTTGAAAAATACACTACTAAACTTGAAAAAAAAATTTAATTCTGGTGCGGCACAATAAAAAGTAATAAATGAGAATAAATTTGACTTTGTAACAATATATAACGGAAACCTTATACCATGCTCAAATTGGAAAAAGTTTTTATCTCTTGTGAGCAATTCGTATTTTTAAAAGTTTCGATATAAATGCTAAGATCTGGCAGCATCTTATCTCTCAATCTCATATTTATTTATTAAATTTATTCATTTTCTTAGTTATTTTTGACATCAAGCCAAGTTCGAGTTAATTAAATAAAGAAATTTTTCTACAATAATAAATAATCATTATTTAAAGCAAAAAAAGAAAAACCGGATAAAAGAAGCAAATAAAATTGTAGCACTTTGGAAAGAAAAAGTTGCATTAAGTTTATAAATAAAAACTACTATTCAGCACATTTCCAACTCTGTATTGTAATTATGCAGACAACAGAATGATTCTCATGTTATTTTTCTACTTCAAATTTAACAGTTTTTTACGCCTTGATTTCTGTTTTGTTACATCTCGAACATATCGAATGTTAAATTTCTTTTATTCCATCGTACTTCTTGTAAACATTTCTACACACTTTCGTGCTTAAAAGTTTCTAAATTTTACGAATTTTATACAATGAAACAAAATGTTACAAAAAAAAGCGTAAAAAAATTAGCCCAAAAATCATATATAAATTCAACATATTTCAAATGCATGGAAATTTTGAAAAAAAAAATTGTTTAAGTGCATAAATAAAAATGGCCTAATCAGCACATCAAAATTTAATTCTGTAGACTGGCAGAGCTCCCCGCATTGTATTTTTACTACAAGTTTAACAGTTAATAATTTCGATTAATTATGAAATGTTAAATTTTTTACTCCATCGTAATTGCTCTACATTTTTTACTCATCTTCGCAATTTCAGGTTTCCAAATCTTATAGTTTTGAGGCAGCAAAATCAAATGTGATGCGAAGTTAAAAAACCTAAAAACAGCCACGACATATACGACATTTTAATACGGAGTGAGAATTAACAATTCTTATAACCGGGCAATAAAGATACTTTGTGACTTGCAAGTACATTATGCTGTGCACATAAAAACCATTATTATATATTTATTCTTCTAAAAACGTATGAAAAAACAACCAAAAAAAAAACATTTGAACTTATACTATAAGTTTGCAATGTCTAGTAAAAAGGTTAACATGTTTCATCACATTGTGAATGTAGAAAATTATATTGGAAAAAAGTATGCAAAACTAAAAGAACTAAATAGAAATAAAAAAACTGCGATAAAAGGGAACTAGTATTGCTGCGGAAACTTTTCATTTGTAATCTAATCTTTCTGAGAAAGCAGTGCGTTCCGTTTTAATTCATTTAATGATTGAAAGAAAGCTTCGGTGTTGATTGAAATAGAAACAAACGTTACTGCAGTTAAATGGAAGTTTCCGTGTCCTTTTACAGTTTTATGTTACAAGTATCTATTAAAAATATCTATGCAACACAAACATCTATGTTACAAATATCTATTAATGCAAATTTCTGTTGTACATGAAGTAAAAACAATGAATGGTAAAGATATAAAAGCGTGAATGAAGTAAGTAAATTAAAAATATATGAAAAATAATAAGTATAATGGAATAAATACGATGAATAAAAACAAAATAAATAAATAAAAAAATTAAGAAAGAATAAATAAAACGAAATAAACAAATATGTAAATTAAAATAAATAAATCACTAAATAATTAAACGTGGCTGACACACAAATTATAAACTTGCCCTTTCAAATTGCAAACCGATTTGTCGATTCACTGTTTCACCGAATATTGAGGAAAAAAAAGCTTGTATTTCCATAAGGTTACTTACGAAAATGAAAAGGAATTATAAAAGTTTTTCCTTACTATTTGATATAAGCCTAAATAATTCAATTCTTTTACACTTGAAGATTTATTTACAAATTTTGTTTGTTCAATTTTTTATATACATACATATTTTTTGAGGTCCCAATCTCGAGCTATTAAGATTTAGTCCTAGAACGTGAAGATCCGATCATTAAATCAAAAGTTATTCAGGGTGGTCCTTTTTTAATTTTTTTTTTATTTTGCGCATTGTACATCACTGATGTTATCTTTCAAATTATTAAAACCAAACGCTCATGCAATTTAATTTGTAATAATGCCTTCTGATAAACCAATGAGAAAAATTTGTTTTTCAAACGTTCTTCCCGAACAGACTAATTGTAATTTTAGAACGAGTCTTAGGATCAGGGACTAAAATTGCCCCTTGCACACGTTGTCTAACTTTCAGTTCAAACAACAAACACAAACTGTTCTGGAGATTATGAAGGCGGCAGTCGCACATGCACATTCTTCCTTTTATTTTTATAGATACTATTTCGAATATTATTCCCATGATTGTCACAAATTCAAATTTTAACTCTTATCCAGTCAACGATATGTTAGTCATAAAAATATCTCAATTTATGACACTGTTATCAGTGAACACTATTAATTTTTATACCTATATTCCATGGAAAAATATCATTCAATCACGTTACGTTCTTTTCACATACCGCGAAAGTTCTCAAGGGAAGAATAACTCAAATTTTCACATATTGCAACCGTCATTATTTCAATTTCATTGTATCAAATGAACTTGATAAACCATCGAGGCGGAAAAAGTTTAAAAATATTTCCTCGTTTTTTTTACGTACTTTCTCTTCATACAGAAAAATGGTGTTTGGATAAAAAAATAAAAATAAAAAAAGAACTCCCATATTTTTTGTGGACATCTTGTCATAGGCATTTGATGATTTCCACGTTCGCGATCTCCAATTCTTGAACGCATCGTTGATCGCGTGAGACGGATGGTAGGTTATGGATGAAATCCCTGAGGACGAATGACCTTAACTCAGTGCGTTTAGTTTATTTCTATTCTCTTTTATTTTTGTATATGTAAACAAACGTATGACTCATCATTTTGGAGTGAAAGCTTTTAAAATATTCAAACAATTGTGACGACTTTGCTGCTGGCAGGTTTTAATGAGTCAAAACTACCATAATTTATATTTTCGTCTCTTGTTCTTCAAATAGCAATATTTATTTTAGAATTAATAAAATTTTTATTTTTGTTTTAATAAAATTAACACTGATATTTACTGTAATATGTGATTGTGCCAGAACTATTAAACTAATTTCATTTGCTATCATTGTTATCCTTTTAAGAAAGCATCTCTTATTTAGGTAAAGGTTATTTTAAAAGACAAAATAATAAAATGAACAAGTTTTTTTTAAATTTGCTTTTTATAAGCTATATTTTTACCCTAATATCTTAATATAACACCAAAAGTATTTAATTAATCATCAATTTAGTACTTGTTTCTTTAAATGTTAGATATTAGTTTGTATATTAGAAATAGAGTTCGATCTAAATATATATATTTCCGATTCAGCAACTGTAGAATTTTTCTTCGTTCCTTTTATTGATGTTAAAGTTAAATCTATAAAAGATGAAATATTTGGATCTATAATTTTGGATATAAATGACGAATTGTATTATTTTATAAAATGGGCTTACCAATAAGCATCTAATCGAAGACCAAAGAACAGAATCTGTTTTATTGTTTCTGAATAATTCTAAGCAATCTCTCTGAAATGGAGCAGAAACTTGTGACTCTGAAATTAAAATAACAGCGAATCAATAATGTTTTACAATTATTTTATGTAATGAAATATTTTACCCAACTAATAATAATAATCAAAAAACACCTTTTTTTAAATTTTTTAACTGCATTTTAGTTGAGGACTTAAAAGCGATTGTTTGGAAGATTAATAAGTCTGTACAGAAAATAGTTTCTCAAAGTAATTTAATACACTTTGTATCGTTGAGCAAAGCAACCGCTTATTATGAAACATATTTTGACCTAGTTCAACATATTTAAAATTCAGAGGTAACACCATTCGATAACTTTAATCTATCATTGATTTTATAAACTGGAGTTCTTTTAACAACATTTTTTCTTACCTAAACGACATTGGTATCCATGCATCTATCTAGTTTTTAACCCACAACATATATATATATAATAGGTTTGATATAGCTACAACTGACTCTTTGGCCAATTACTCAAACCAAACTATTTATCTCTTATCCGAATATGTTTTTTCATAGTTATAATGGTGATATTTTATGACTGAAAATTTTAACTTGCTCTAAGCCTATCACTCATGCTTGTTACTTTTGAAACTTTAAATTTCATGTTTGCATTTTGTTAACTTTTTTTATTCCCTTCGTCTGTGTTTTTTAATTTTTTATTATAATAAATTAACTCAATTCTGAAGTTATTTACATAGAGATCCAAAAGTGTCTCGTTCATGTTTCATGTTTCATGTTTGCATTTTGTTAACTTTTTTTATTCCCTTCGTCTGTGTTTTTTAATTTTTTATCATAATAAATTAACTCAATTCTGAAGTTATTTACATAGAGATCCAAAAGTGTCTCGTTCACTTTATTTCTTATGTTTGTTTGTTTTTTGCCTTTATTCATTGTTTTGTATTGAATCATTTTTAAATAAATTAAAAAAATGTTTTTTAAATCATCTGACGGTTTCATAAAGTTTTGAAACATTTATCTATTCTGTATTTACTCAATTACCGATACATAATGTTACTTCGGAATTTGTGCATCTATAATTAAATATATAAATATTTTAATATAAAACAATAATAAACCTCAAGATTAATTTTTTTAAAGAAAAGATAGGTCTAAGTTAATGAAATCGAAAAAAAATCTAAACATTTTACGACATTAGTAAAAATATCAACATTAATTAGAAATAGAATGTTTCAAAGCTTAAATATAAGTGTGTAAACAATGACAGTACATAAAACAATTCTAGTTAAAAAAAATAATTTTATGGTGTTTGATCTGATATTTAGGTTGATAATGTTTAATTTTGAGGTTGAAACACTACGTAAAACAGTTCTAGTTAAAAAATATAATATTATGGTGTTTGAACTGATATTTAGGTTGATAATGTTTAATTTTGAGGGTGAAACACTATGTAAAACAATTTTAGTTAAAAAAATGTATTTGAACAGACATTGAGGTTAATAATTGATTTTGAAGGGCAAACACTATATGAAACAAAACAATTTTAATTATTAAAAAATATTGCTTTTGAACTTATATTGAGGTATATTGATACTTCTGATTTTAACAGTAAACTATGGATATGCATTTTACATTTGGTTAACTCTTTGGTAGTTTGATTTAATAAAAAATGTTACGTTAAATTTACTTGCAATGATTGAAAACAATAAGCCTTATTTTCCTTTGCCTAAGGATGCAACAAAAACTTATATTTGTTACCTGTTTTCTTTCCTCCATACATTTTTCTTAATTTTATTTCTATAGCAGCTTCTTGTTCTTCATCAGGATTATTCAGAACTAACTATAAAAAAAAATATAAATACTTCATTAATATTTTAGCAGGCAGTTAAAGTTGTAAAAAAATATGAACAGTAAAAAGCCCTTCAATAATACATAATAAATGATGTCTAGAGAAATAACATTTGCTTGATAATAGTCACGCACTAAAGTAAAAAAGAAAAATGGGTTTGGAATATATTTTATTCAACAAAATATATTATTCAACTTTTTATATATACATAAAAAAACATAAAAAGTCCATTATTACTATTGATAATGAAGTTTCAAGTAGAAATGTATTGATAATGAAGCTTCAGGTAGTTTTTTTACTTGTTGCATTGATCTTATATTAAAAAGTAGTTTAACTAAAACTTCAAAATGTTTGTTATGCTTGAAAGAAAATTGCTATATTTATTTTATTAAAAAAAAATTACTATGTATAGTAAAGATTTCTTATTAAATAATAGCGAAAAAAAAGTTACTTTTTTTAAAGAAAATATTAAGGTTTTTAAAAAAAATATAGGGCGTCAAATTGCCATGACAGCATACAGTTAGAAAAAGTAAAAAGTTCTATTCAAATCAGTTTCAAGATGAGCAGCGTACTCAGCGAAGATCATATGGCTAAAATGTATGATATGAACCATATAGATATTTTTAATGCACTATTATAGAGAAATTTTTGTAGTCAGAAGCAATACAATTTGTAATATTTTTTGAAATTTTGATTTGAGGGATATTTTTTTTAATATAAGGACAATGATGATATCTGGTTAACTACAGTTTTCAATTTTGAATTTCTTCCCTTTTTCTCTCTCAGATATACTACAGAATGCAACTTTTACTTTACATTTGCTACTTAGATAATGAAAGACAGAATAAAACGCCAGTTTTAGGATAACGTTCAATAATTTTCTTTTGTTCATATTGGTTTGGAAACAAGAAAAATAATACTTTTCGTAATAAAAAAATTATTTTCTAATTGACCATATTGAAAGTGATTTTTCTATCGAATCCAATTTAGACGAAGATGATCTATCGTCAACGATATAAAACTTGTTTAATTTTACAGATTTTTTTCTACCCTCTTGTTATGTTTAAATTATTAGAATAAAAGTTTTTTGAAATTCGCTGTAAACAATGCACTTTTTTAGATAAATATAAAATACAGTAGAACTAAGAAACGTTTCTAAATTTTCAAATTTCGATATTTGATTCTCCGATAATTAATGAACCGGATATTATAAAAGATAAAATTAACCAACATCTTTAATCGGTTAACAAGAAGATACTTTTCTACTTCATTGTTTCGCTTAATTAATCAAGAAACTACAAACCAAGTTTTTTAAGAACTGATTAAAGTTACTTTAATTACGGTGCCATAAAACTTATATTGGAACAACGTTGAAGCTTTTATTTTTATTACCATTTCAAGAAACATTTGAATTTTGATACGCAAGCTTAAACAGGATGCGTAGTGCTTTTAAAAAGTGCTTAAAGGTGCTTATTTTTGTTTTTGAAAGCCCTTAAAGGTGCTTTTTTTAGTGGGTGTTTTTAAAAAGTGCTTAATTTTCCCTTTTCCAAAATGANGTTCAATAATTTTCTTTTGTTCATATTGGTTTGGAAACAAGAAAAATAATACTTTTCGCAATAAAAAAATTATTTTCTAATTGACCATATTGAAAGTGATTTTTCAATCGAATCCAATTTAGATGAAGATCACCTATTGTCAACGCTAAAAAACTTGTTTAATTTTACAGATTTTTTCTACCCTCTTCTTGTGTTTAAACTATTAGAATAATTTTTTTTTGAAATTCGTAGTAAACAATGCACTTTTTTAGATAAATATAAAATACAATATAGCTGAGAAATGTTTTAAAATTTTCAAATTTCGATATTTGACTCTCCGATAATTCCCGAACCGGATATTACAAAGACTTATAAAAGACTCCAACATCTTTCATCGGTTAACTAGAAGATACTTTTCTATTTCACTGTTTCGCTTAAGTTATCAATAAAGCTGTTCGCTTAAGTTATCAATACAAACCGAGTTCTTTAAAAACTGTTCAAAGTTACTCTAATTACAGTGACATAAAATTTATATTAGAACATCGTTGAAGCTTTTTTTTTTTTACCGTTTCTAGAAACATTTTAATTTCGATACGCAAGCTTAAACAGGATGCGTAGTGTTTTTAAAAAGTGCTTATTATTGATTTTCGCTTTTTAAAAGCCCTTAAAGGTGTTTTTTTTATTGGGTGTTTTTAAAAAGTGCGTAATTTTCCCTTTTCCAAAATGATATCTGTCCCTTACCATCTTGATTTTTGCTACAAATTATGCAGAAAGTCACTGTTCTATACAACGTTTTCACAATTAATTCAACCCCAATCTACTTCGGTGTATCGTCAGTCCGTAGCGTATGAAAACGCCATTCGATTTACATGATTCAAAAATTTTGACAATTGTCAAAAACAATGCCGAAAGGTGTTTTTTTCTCTCTTTTTTGTCATGACGGTTAAAACTAGGTAAAACCGTCAATTGTCAAAAACTTTCCAATCCTGCCTAATTGTGATTTTTTTAAAGTGCTTAAAAATATTATTTAAGTGCTTGAAAGGTGCTTATTTTTTGTTGAATTAATTTGGCTACGCACCCTGTTAAAGCTACTTTGTAATCTTTTCGGGATTAAAAATATTTAATAATCTACTTTTAATATAACACAGCATTTGTGGCTTATTTATAGCTTAAATATTTAAAAGAATTGACATCACAATGTCAATCGAATGTAAGAGACGGTTCAAATAAGGGCTTCATTTATGTGTTGTAAATTTAAAACGCCATTGCGTGATATAAATAGTTCCCAAATTTATTACACTATCATTGCTTAAACATAGAATCGTATTATGATAAGGAAGAAAGCTGTTGCTCTGATGTTTGGAATTTATGGTATCGCAACCTAAGCCTTATATTTTTTAAAGGAACTACGAAGATTAGGAAGCTTAATTAAAAATTAAGAAAAAAAATGTCACTGGGAAAAAGATTTCGCGCATGAAACTAGCTTTTACTTGTATAATGCAATTTAAAATTTCCCCATAGCTGGAATGATTCTGGAGATAGAATGCTCACCTTCAAATGACGCGACTGGGATTCGAATCCCAGTGCTGATTGGCCGATTCGAATTTTGCTGATTTTGACGCCTGCGGACCATTATGGTACGGAGAAATAATCCCAGTGGTTGTATTACTAGATAGTATTCTTATGCGTCGTATAAGTCTGAACACATGGCTTCTTTTTATTTAAAATTATTATTAACTTTCGGTTATTTTCTTTTTTTCAATTTTGATCAGTTAATCGCTAAACTTGCACCTGCTTTGGCTTTCGTTTTTGCGTTTTACTTTCTTTCCCTCTCATTTAAACAAAAATGTGAAAGTTCTATGGTTCAGGGATGTGTTTGAGTGTAAAGTAAAGTAGAAAGGCCTAGACATGAAAGGGCAACACATACTCTACACGTTTATTGGTTAGTTTGTCCGAAATTTCGAATCCAGTGTTATTTCAATTGCATTAAATTACCTCCCACAGATAAATGTTTCTTGCAATATTTATATTTATTTTACTTTTGTCCAAATGGACTCCTAAATATGTTTGTTTTGGGTACATAATATGATGGAATGAATAAAACTTCACAAAAATTTCGGTTTTTTGATAACGTACAAAAAAATATTTTAGCATTTTTTTCTAGCCAATGTTTGGTTCAAAACTGAAGGAAGAAAATTTATGATCAAAGTCTATTAGAATATTACACTGAAGAACTGAATTTTGCATTCCTTTAATGAAAAATCATAAAACATAAATTAAAGTTACGGTGTAATTTGATGTAGTGTATAAGTACAATTTTTACCTACCCCTAAGAGTGGTAACTCCAGTCTCATAACTTCTGCTTCTTTGTACAGTCTATCTAGGGAGCTCGATATTCGGACAAATATGTGTTTTCCGACTCTTTCTTCATCTGCTAATAGTCCTTCTTTTCGCAATCCCACCAGAAATCTGCGTCGTAAGTTGTCTTTTTTAGCGTCAGTACTATCAACTTTTTCCTTCTCATCTCTGCTGTAATCAGGATCTTCATAAACGAGCACGTAATTGGAATATTCTGTCATATCTTGTTATACTTAAAACTATGAATCTCCTGAAAAAAATATTTTATGAATGATATCAACTAGAACATTTTACTCGAAAAAAATACTTGACTTCCTTACTGGGTTCTATGATTTTAAAGTCTTTAAAAAATTTAAAATTTCTTCCCAGCGCAAATCATACGACATGTGTCTGCAGTATAATATTTATATTGTATTTGTGCGTTTTATATGTATAAGCCTATCAAAAAAGAATTGTAGAAGTAAGTGTTGAGAATATAAAAGCGATTAATACAAATCATACAGTGTAAAAAATTCCGTATCAAATTACATTACAAATTACCGGCACTTTGTGTTTATCAATCCGTAAAATCAAATTTACCGTCAAATCCATTTTATCGTGAAATATTATACTGTAATTTTCAGAGTAATGTTCATTTAATTAGACTGATGCAGTGATGTTACGGTAATTATTACTGTAAAAATTACGGTATGTCCGATTGTTTGTTTCGCAATATGTTCCGGTTAAAATGAGTTTTATGGTAAAAAGTACCAGCACCCTGATGCTGGTACTTTTTACAGTAATTTGATCCAGAATTTTCTTCAGTGTGTTTAAGATTATATCGAATTCTTTTATTTTAATAAATAAAAGAAAAATATTTTAATAAATGCAAGTTTTATCTCAGTAAATAATGCAAATAGAATTAAAGACAACATATGAATTTCAAGATATTATCATTCACATTATCAAAAGTATTGAGTATTCATTTAGTATGTTGGGTGAGCTTGTTGCTCAGTCAATTACTTTTCAAACCATGGAATACAACTGAATGTAGCTATTCGCACTTCTATTTTAATACCTGCTGTTTAGAATAGTAGCAGCTGAAAACTCATTTTTGCATACATTAGAAAATTAGGACAGTCATATCTTTCTGCTCAAAGCAGAAAAATCATATCTTATAATATTTTATACGCTATCAACTCTACTTTGAAACTTTATTCCTTTCAAGCAGCAGCAAATTACCACGAAAGGATTAGTTTTAGGCTTGAATTTAATACCATCTCGCGGTATCTCTCGTTTTATTCCATGGCACACTTTAGAAAACCCTGGCATAGAAGACAAAAACAAGCTTGTGCAATTCCTGTAATTTTTATTTATTTATTATTATTTTTTCTTCAATTGCCTTAACTCAAAATACTCTGTTATACATAATTATAATTCATTCTAAAAACATTCAATTCGCAACGAAGTTGTAAATGATTATTTAACGAGAAAAATTATTATTAAATTTCATGCTGGGAAGTCATCCCCTCTGCAGAGGATCAAAATTGTAAAAACATGTCTTCGGATCATCCTCAGAGATGTTTCCCAGACCATCGCCAATAGCCCATTTTGCTGCTCTAGTGCGACGTAAATTGATTACCTACCTACGCACCTTAATTGCAAATCGATGAGCCTCATATTTTTTCATGACATTTCATTTCTCTTATTTATTTTATCACAGTGAGGCAATTGCTAATGTATACAAAATACGTTCACATTGTGTTCGTCGACATAATATCGTGACTTTGATTCCAGTTAAGAAAATGAGAGAACTAACTAACTTATTATTCGAACTGTTTTTCTTTGCGTTGCGAAAAATGATACAACGAAAAGTTGCCTTTGTAACAATACAATGATCCAATTCTACCTGACATTGAAAATAAGAACTGAAAATCAGTATGCAAGGGCCAATACAACACAATGACATACGAACCTAATTGCCAGAATTTTGTTTGGATCTTTAGCTTATTTCATTTCCTAGCAGAATCAAGAAAACATCTTAAACAACTTAATATTTTGCTTTTCTACTAATCCAGCATTTAAACTATTAGTGACGATGTTAAAATTTTGGATTAGTAGAAGTCATACGACGAGGTATTTTTAAATATTGCAGAAAATAATCTGTAAACAAAACAAAAACAAAAAACGAAAAGAAAAAGAAGATGAAGAGTTCTGGCAATTTAGTTACTGGAATTTTCGAATTTTTTTTTCTCACGAAATTTTATAACAAATGATTCAAATATGAGATCAACCTTCATTTTTTTTACTTTTATTGTTTGCTCTTTCAAAGAAAGTAAATAAGTAAAAAATAAATTATATTTAAAAATCAAATTGAGCTCTTAGAAAAATATTTTCTTGTATAACTTGTCACGTAATTAATGTAAATAAAAAAGATAATTTTATGAAATTTTTAAAATTTTTTATCTTTTGATAAACAAAAGGTGACTATTTGGAAAGAAAAGATATATATATGATAGAAAGTATCATGAAAAATTTAATTTTCAGTTACAGTGGTAAAATAATTAAAAACATGTTACATAGTTGAGAAGGACATGCTGCATAGAAAAAAATACGCATGCTGTATTCGTGAAGAAATATATCTGCCGTCGTACTATTCTTCTGTTACTTTTTTTTTATTTCATTTAATTAATTTGACGACTTCCGCTTCATTTCATGGTTCAGATCATAAAAAATAACAAGAAATTACGTTTCTTTGGCAAAGTATTTATGAAGCTCTTAATTAGAATTGATTTATTTTGAATTGTTATCTCTGCCGTCATCAAAGTCTGATTTTTGAGAGAAAATATTCATGTCTGCACACTTAAAAGTTGTAATATTTAAAAAATAGCAACGCTCATCATTTTGTATTAAAGTTTATTATTTATCATAGTATTAATTATTTTATATGTTATTATAGTATTTATTATTTTAACATGATTTCCATTCTTTTAAAACCCTTTCGTAGTGTTATAAATTTTCCAATTTCGAATAACTTTCAAATTCAAACATTTCTTATACAGAAAGAAAAATGAAATAGGCTAGGTTTTATAATTAATTAGAATAAAAAATTGAATTATTACAGGGAGGGGAAAAATTTTGCATTGTTTTTAAATCTTCCATTCGTGAAGTTCTGTATATAAGTTCACGGTTTTACACGAAGCAATGTTTTATGTTTCAAATATATATAAAATTCAAAATCCGTATCTTAACTGAAAAAAACCTGGTTGCAAGCTAGATTAGGAGCATTAAAGAATAGTAAGAAATTTAAATAAAAAAAATGGATTGAGTGCTAATAAATAAGAACTCAATTTTGACAAAAAAAAGTCACATTTCCTTGAGACATTCTAGAATTTATAGTTAAAAATTATTTAAGCCCAATATTATTTTCACATCTATACATAAAGTTCTAATATAAAACTAAAACTATGAAGTCGAATTAAATTTCGAATTACATTACTAGGAGGCCCCTCGTAGTAATCTGCTAATTTTACAAACGTATAGTCATTCCCTTATTAATGTTGAGTAAATGAAGATATTGGTTGATTATTTCTAGTTTTTGATTACTTTTTAACATTAAAACAAGTTATTTGTTTTTAAAGTTTAATAAATAAATAAAAGAGAAAAACACAAGGCATTTCACAACGCCAAAAACTTGAAAATAAATAAGTCCAATTAATTAAGTTTTATTTCATAAACGAAATTACATAATTATTAAAATATTTTGTATTTTAAATTTCGCTATTAGAAAATTTAAAGCGATTTGAACTATAATATCGTTCAAATTTGCTGCATTCTTTATATGGTGTTTTTTTTTATAGCCATTCTATCATGCTTCTTAAACTTCATTATGTGTTGCTATAGCACAGCTTGAATGAAAACAGGATTGAATTTAATGCTTGATTGTGATTAAAGTTAATTAGTACCGCATTATACAGATGATACAGATATTGTGTTTTTTCATTGAACTAATTTTATCGAGAGTGTGAAATAAAAGTTATTATTGTGTTGGCAAAAAAATAATTTCATAGTGAGAAATAAAACTAAAATTTTTTCTGCCCAAAAGATAAACCTTAATCAGTTATTTAACTTCTTTTCTGTTCAATGGGCATTTTATAACTTTTCTGGATAACTTCATGATCCTGCTCTCATAAAACGTCTGGTCCTTATAAGTAAAAAATCTCAACCAAGTGCGATTTGAGGTCATCATGATTACTGAAATGATTACAATTTAAAAAGTTTCATAAACTCTGATGGTGAAAGGTAGGGGTATATGGAGGATGCGACATAATTTCCCAAGCAAGTTCCAATAATTTCGTCGTGTGTGAGTCCTCACACAGTCGTGATGGAATACAATTTCTTTGCGATTTTCGATCCGACTTCACACCATCGGATTATCATTTAATTCGAAGTTTATAATACTTTTTAAATGGTAAAAACAATATTAACGATGACCTCAAATCATACTTTGTTGAGATGTTTTGCTAATGATGAGCGCGGGAAATATGAGAGCGGGATCAGTGCGGGATCATGAAGAAACATAAAATATGGCAGAAGATCATAGAACAGAAAGAAGATATTTCGTTGATTAAAGTTTATTTTTTGTGAAGAAAATATTGTGATTTTTTCACCCTACAAAGCCAAAATTGCTTTCTTGCCAACTTAATATTTTCTAATGGCACATTTTGTAGATACTAGTCAAATAGTAATTTTGCGCTAAGTGATAATGCGCTGACAAACAATTTCCTTTACTTAGTCAATCAATCGAGGCATAGTACCATGGTTTCTAACATATTCTATCTTTGTTCACGTCATGTTTGAAACGTATCACACATCAAAGCATTCATCAAATATTTATCCATACAGTTTGTAAAAGCTTTTTTGTTCTTCTTTTGATTAAAAAGAGAACACCAACCTAGAAAATTGAAGTTTGTGAAAGTTATTTCGATTCTGCAATCTGATTTGATTGTGTACTTAGTTTTTGGATTCAGTTCATCTAAATTATTGGATCTAAATCGAAAATAGAGTTTTAATTTAAAAAAAAATTACTTAGTTTTAAAATGAATGAGTCAGGAGGAAAAAGTTAATCATTTCATTCAATATTTTTAAATTAGTACTAAAGCATTTCCGCAACAGCCCGTTGTGGGTCAGGGAGTGTTAGTTACTAGCATCCCTATTCGCTTCAAGCAGAATTTATTGCAATTTTTGGGCAATAGAAATTAATCATTAAATAAAAGATTAATATCTGTTCAACTAGTTAGAGTGTTCAAAATTGCTGAAGTTTAGCAGAGCTTTAGTGCAATTTTCAGTTTAGCAGAGCATTAGTTATAGTGTACTATACACGGAGAAAAAATTCTGGCGAAATTACCGTTCTTCACGATAATGACATTTTTGTTAAAAAGAACAACAACATCATTCTGGTTGATAAAGCCAAAATATATGGTATTAACATTCATTTGCTAATTTTTTCGTTGACACAGAAATAATTAGGCGGAAATTCTGACTTTCAAAATTATAGTTCTTATTTTCACACACATTTAGTAAATACAAAATTTAAAAGTAAATTAAACCGTATACGTGGTTTTCATGCCATGCTTTAAGGTATCATTATAAAACTATCGAATTTTACCACAATCACCAAATTTTATCACATTTTATAAACCATATTTTATTAGTTAATTTTATTAAAATTATAACCAAAGCGCTTCGGTAAAAACTTCAGACTTGTTGGTGTTCCCATAGAGCTAGAGACGCGATAAAATTTATCATATTCTGGTAGTTTTGACCATATTTTTTTTCAGTGTAGCAACTATAGAAAACATAGTTGGATACTAATTTTTATACGTAATGAGTACATTATGATTACATATGAAATTTTAAAATTTCAACTATTTTCAAAATTATAGGTTCTGTGGACACTTTAAAAATTTGTGAAATTTGTTAAAAATTAGCCTTATTTATCAACACATCCATTTCAATAATAGTTATGTGTAAATACAGTCAATTGAAATTCACTAATATGATTTTCAAGCAAAATAAAATAAATTCCTAATTTCCTAATTGGGTAACAATGCTTACAATGAAACTTTTAATATAAATACAACTTAAATTTTATGGTATTGCTTATAATAGGAAATACTTTCAACATTATTGTGTCTTTTCCCTGAAAAATATCTAGATCCCGTTTTACTATTTGTAGTATTGTAGAATGAATTAAATTGCAGTTGCTAATAAAGGACTAATAAAACGTAGCACGTGAAAGCATTTTAAAATTTATAATACAAAGCAAATAAATTTAATTCACAGTCTTTTATTTAAACTATGTTTTGTTTATAAATTAACACTGAAGAGTATTTAAGCTTAAATATTTAGATATTTTGTTCATTATTTGAATAAAAAATAATACTTAAAATTCCTTCCATTCTGAAAACTTTCAAAAATATTTTCTCGTTTGAACTCTCCATGCTTTTACATGAAGTAAGTAAGTAAATAAATGCTGCGCATAATATTCTACTAAAAATAAATTCTACATATGAATCTAAATTTCTTTTAATCATTCCGATTAAATCTGTCATTACGTTTATCGAAAATAAAAATGTTAGAGATATTAATTCTCACCTAACTCAATCATTTTAACACAGTTATCCTAAAGCCGTTCGTATAATTCATCATTCTTCACCTCAGTTAATGTTTACATATCGTAATCTGTTAAATATCTTCACAGTTTATATTTCTTTCGATGAGCAGCTAAAATTATGCACCGGGTATGTTAATAAAGGATAGTTTATGTTCCGGTTTTAAATAAGACTTGTATGTAAACAATTCATACAGAACATCTGCTCAGCCTGGATTTCTCGGTTGGAATAGAAGATTCGGGTGGTGGGGCTGCAGAAGGAATCGATTCTTCATCACCATGGTAACTGAATGGTGGGTTGCATCAGTATGTGACGATTTAACTGGGCCATGTGGTCTCTTTTCATTTGTAGGCCACTTCCGAAAAGTTCTCTTTATTTTGTGGCTTAATTGGCATAAAAACATACACGGCAGCAATTAATAAAACATTTGGAATGTAATTTTATACTTTCGAAATGCAATTAGATGAGTGCTCTTTTGTTTTGCGAGACATTTATATATGATATGACGTAGGAAGAAGATTTTTGTTTACATGCGGTGTTTTTTAAGCACGTATCAAAAATGCAGGAGTAACTTCGAATTTTTTCCTTCTTCTTCAATATTTTAACTTCGGGATATTTCACATCTATCTATCACATTTTTGCGTAAGTTTAACAACCACTTAATTCGGGTAATTTTAAAAATTGCCTCCTTTTCAGTATCAAATGATATAAATCACTGCTAATACTTTTCCCCCAGACGCTATCAACATATGCATTTTTAAATAGCTTACATTTTTTTAAAAATCTATAAATATTTATGAGATTATATCATTATATTTTGATTATATCACATTTGCTAAAGATTATATCACAAAAATAGCCTTTTTGGTTAATTTTAGAGATCGCTAAATTTGGGTAATTTTAAAGTCTGCATAGAGAAAAAAAGTATGTTCAAAATTACCTGAATGTGGAAAAATTACCGTGTTTCTTGCTTTATGGGAACACTAAAAAGTTCGGTTATTTTTACCGATACATTTTGAGATTAGTTTTCGCTATGAATATGGTTTTTAAGGTCTGTGATAAAGTTTGATAAATATGGTAAAATTATAATAAAATAATTTTCGCATTTTACCTAAAAAGGATGGCATAAAATTCATTTACTTGGGTAAATTTATTCTCCAATTTTGTATTTCTTACTAAATGTACGGTAATAAGAATTCTAAATTTGAAAACCAGAATTTCCGCTAAATCGTTACAATATGGACGAAAAAATTACTAAATGAATGCTTTAAATAACGATTTTGATTTTATTACCAGAATCAAATTTTTTTTTTCTATTTTTTTTTCTATTTTTTTTTTTAACCAAAAATGTCATTACTATACAGAATTTCACCAGAATTCTTTGATGCTGTAGCCCATTTTTCGTTACCTATCCCTTTCAAGGGGCTGTAAAAAATTTATTTTCACGTTATCTATATTTAAATTGCAAGGAATTGATGCAGTTTTAATGGGCACCAAATATGCCAATATAATACATTCTAACTATAATAATATATTTAATGCCTATTTAAACCTCACTAATTATCATAATACCAGTAGTGCCTCTTACTAAAATCAATGGAGCATCATTGGCATAAGTAATAGTATGGTGATATTTTACGGTTTCTATTAAACTAATTAGTAACATTTCTCAATTAGTTTTGCTTTATGGTACAAAGAGCTTATATATATATATATATATAAGCTCAAAATAAAGATAAAACAAAGTTCAACGCAG